ACCGAGGACATAGTTCTATTTGGTGAAAACGCTAACAAAATGCACAGACTTCTGACCACCCTAAGGAAAAATGCAAGCGTGTTAGGGATGCACTTTTCTCCCTCCAAATGCAGAACGTTGCTTTGGCATTAGCTAGTGATAGTGATGGAAGTAGTTGAGCGTGTTGACCACTTCACTCACCTCGGGATGGTTCGGTGACCGACGATATCTCCGCACAGATACAGAAGGCCCGACTAGCTTTTTGCGGACTTGTATCACTCATGGCGCAAGTGAGATATCTCTTTGCTAAACACAGGACGAGTGTACTACGCAGCAGTTCGCTCCGTCCTATTTTATGGCTATGAAACATGGCCAGTTAGAGTAGAAGATATTCGTAGGTTATTATATTATTATATTATCACTATATGCAGTATTGAAAATTCATCAGTTGAGGTGGTTGCGACATGTTTTACGAATGCCCAACCACCGAATGCCTTGATAATCTATGTTGTATGATGTAGGGATAGGCTGCACGAAAGTTAGCGGCGGCCATGTCAAAACATGGCACAGATCTATGAAGTCACTGACAACTAAAATGAGTCATGTTGGTAAGTATAGACTAACTGGTTGCGTTCTGCAACACAATAGTAGCCGACGGTTAGGGACCTTGAATGACATGGCTCAAAATCGTTTTCAATAGTGTGCAGATGCATCCACTCTTTGTCTTCTCTGAAATTCTAGTCTTCCGAATTCCTCATCACCTCTATCTTTCTCTTTCTAAATTTATCTCATTGAATTGCTGTTGTTGAATAATATCTTCGATCTCTAACATTCTCCATTACCTATAATACTTCTATCTCTACTACTATGGGATTTGAATTGACAATTGCTTCACTGTGCTAATGTGGTATGGCAAACTGAAATGATGTACGTACGTTCGAAGTTCTACGTTGTAACTGACTGACTGGCTGACCAGTGTATGAATAAATCAGGAAGAAGCGTTGGAAGTGGATAGAACACACATTGAGGAAAACACCCAACTTCATCACAAGACAAGCCCCTATTTGGAGTTCTCAAAGTTAAAGGAAAACAGGAAGACCAGGGAATATATTACGCCGAGAAATGGAAACGCACATGAGAACAACAGTTGGACAAAGGTTGAAAGGGAGGCCCAGGACAGAGTAGGTTGAACAATGCTGGTCGGCGTTCTATACTGCACGAGAGTAAAAGGTGCAAGCAAGTAAGTGTTCTTTGAGTTGGATGATTTAAATGAGGATCCTTTTGTTTGCCATTCTGGACAACATAATTATCGCTTATTTCGTGTAATAGACATGAACATTTTAGTTTATTTTATTAGTCTGAAATTAATTTATCTTGATGACCTTGTGACTGGTGATCTTCACAAGTTTCATTGTTTCCAACTGTCTTGTATTCAAGTCGACCATTTGTTTTGTTGACCTTTGGTCAGGCTATTTATTATTTGACCTTTTCTGGATGAATTGGTAAATTGGGTTTAAATCAATATGTCTGTTGATTGATCATTGATATGAATACCACCACAATTCCAGAAATTCTGACATTCTGAAAATTCTCACGATCCAGAATTTCGACCATTTATCAATCAAATTCATTTCCGTAGTTGTCTACGTCGGTTGACATTGGGAAATGCATATCATGTTGCTTCATTGATAGTTTATATTTGTAAGTGGAGAAGTCGTCAACTTTGTCCACTGAAGTGTTCGTCAAAGTTAAAACAATTTATTTTGTAAATGATATTGGATTTGCTTATTTTCGTGGTTGTATTTTCTTGGTTTGTATTAAATAGAGTAGAGTCGCCGGGTCGGCTAATGAACAGCAAAAATTCCTAAAGGTTTTAAGATCCTTCTGTTGACATTTCTACGATATGATTTACACAGAATAATGATGAAAGCTCTCTGAATAAACTACCTAGTACAGAGAACTCAATAACACTTGAAGCATCTGCTCGAACTGCAAATCTTTCCGATGATTTCAAATGAATAAAATCGATATCCAAGAAGTATGAACAAACACGAAAACTCGGAATATAGAAGATAAAAACACTAGATACATAAGGATAAGTTCTACCGTTGGTTATGTCATAGTTAAGATGAGACAGTCAGTCAATAACTACGTAGAACTTGGTATGTATGTACATTAATTCAAGTTGTCATACCATATTAGCACAGAAACGCAATTGTCAATTCAAATCCCATAGTGGTAGTAGAAGTATGAGCAGTAATCGGATGATGAATGTTGAAGAAGTTGAAATGTCTATAGTTTTAACAATGGTGAGAAAGAGCAAACGATTCGAAAAGATATAGAGAAAAGATATGTATGAAAGACTACTTCATACAGTTAGGCGGCCATGTAAGTGATTCCCATCCTGAGGTAGCTTGGAGTGATATCCAAAAGACTGTGGAAACAGCAATGATATCTGTTAGCAAGGTAAATCATACGGTTAAGAAGAAGCCGTGGATCTCAGTAGCATCCACCGAACT